GCAAGGAGGGTCATTAGTTGAAAGTGAGAGTTTAGAGAAGGGTGGAGGGAGAGGTGTAGATAGGTAGAAGTAGAAGAGTAGATAGTAGAAGTAGAAGAGTAGATAGTAGAAGACGAAATGCTGCCACCATCCATTCATGATCATTACATACAAGACAAGGAATGGAACTTGCCTGTATCACAAAATTCTCAAAAGATGTTATCATGAGTTCATTATTAGTATGTTCCCTCTGTACCATGTACTCATTAAAATCAGGGAACCAATAATCCCCGAGGAGGCTTTCTCACCTCAACTCAACTCTCTAGGAAACACAGTGAAAGACCATTTAAATAATAAATTCAACAATTATATTTTTCATGATAAGTATCATAACTTAAGCAATCCAATTAAAATGTTAACGATTAATATTCAAAGTGAGTCATCATCCAAGAATTCGAGAACCCTACAACTTGACTGCCCCTGATCTTCACACAACATATGTAACCACGACAAGTCACCTTAATGTTCACTCACCGAGGACTGAGTCTAAGTTGAATAGAGAGGGGGGGGGGGTGTCTGTAGCTTGACAGAGACTGTCTCGCCCCTGCCGGCCGACAGCCTCCCTGCTCTGCTGGCTCGTGTGCTGTTCTGTCTCGTTAATGCTCTATGCTCGATAGTTCTCCGAGTATTTATTGGGGAACCTAGTAGCTAACTCCGCCCACAAGTAGATAGCCTCCGGCACTACCAAGCCACTCCTTAAACGTCGGCATGTTTGAAGGCTACCCGGCTCCAATTATACGCTTAGCGGAAGCAAGGTGAAATTCTCATGATCTGACCTCAGGTCACTTGGGGTCATTAACGCTTTGAGGTGTGAGAACTCAGGCAGACAACTGGCGCCTCTCAGATCCTTGTCTGTGACTCATGTACTCTATGTATGTATTAACCTAAACCAAACACTTTTACAGTGTTACAGCCCGGATGGTATCACAGTGAACCCCTGGAAGAATGGCAAGCAGTTGGTATGGGACTACACATGCGTATCAACCCTGGCTAACACCTACATTGATCTTAGTGTTGCACAACCAGGTGGCGCAGCCATCCACAGGGAAGCAGCCAAATCCCATAAGTACAGAGAACTGGATCACCACTACAATTTTGTCCCCATTGCTTCAGAGACACTCGGCGCCTGGGGTAAAAGTGCTACCAGTTTTTTGAAGGAACTGGGTTCTAGGCCCATTGAAACAACCAGGGACCCTAGAGCTGTCAGCATTCTTTTCCAGCGCCTCAGCGTGACGATACAGAGGGGAAATGCGCACTGCATTCAAAGGAACCCGCCATCTGAGGAGCTGGAGGAACTCGACAACCTATGATAACCATCTTTGTACCCTATGTGTAACTCCTTTTTTGTAACAAAGTTCAAATAAAACATATATATATGTGTACATACAAAAGAATGGGGGTGGTAGGAGAAGATAATATTAGTAATTTTTTTTTTTTAATTTTGCCCCGAGGGGCGAGTTTATTGGGCAGCGCCACTCATCTTGTGAGTGAACATACCGCCATAGCAGAATGTACAACACTCCCCAATAGGAAGAAAACCCGCTGGGTTGTTCATCCTGTCACTTGTACCCAGACACAGCTGGGACTTGCTTAACTGTCTCAAGTGAACAGCTCCTCAAACAAGAAGATTAACATTTATCAACCCTTAAAAGCTTACGTTATCTTGCGGGTGCAAAATGGGGAAATCTTTTAAGAACAGTATCAATATTTGACAAATAGTGTTTTCCTAACTCAAACAATGTGGGGTTTATTATTCTACAGTTATTCCTAATGTCTCTCAGGTGTTCACATTCACGTAGGTAGTGGTCAAGGCGGTGTCCATCACTCTCACCACAGATTCTGCAACTTCGCTGATCAACTGTTGTTTCCATTCCAAATCTCCATGGATATTTGTATCCAAGACGGATTCTCGCTATTACTGATTCTCTCCCTCGTCGTCCTCCTCTTCGGCCATAATGATTGGGATTGCCAGCTGCAACCATGTTGTACAATCGTATAGATTCACTGGTGTGTGCTTCTATCCTCCTTTCCTCAGTTACCTTGTCACGGTGATGTTGCCTGATAATACCTCTAATTTGTAGTTGAGTCTTGGGTATGAAATATTCAATATGGTCTCCTTCAGCGCCTTCAGCAGCCAGCACATCTGCTCGTTCATTCCCACATATTCCAACATGGGAGGGGATCCACAGAAACTTGATGACTCTTCCCTGATTGGTAAGTACTCTCACAGCTCTCTTAATTTCAGCGACTATTGCAAGATTTTCTGCCTGATTTTTACTTAGGCTTTGCAGTGCTGCTTTTGAATCGGTGCAAATCACTGCACCATTAGTGTTCAGTTCAAGAAACCTTAACGCCATAACAATGGCAGTTAGCTCGGCTTGCGTTGAAGAGGCATAGTTCTCAATACGTGCTTTTTCTTCATTTCTGCGTTGGAAAGTATTATCCTTGATTACCGTGTATGCTGCACCAGCCCTGCCATTGATAGGATTAGATGACCCGTCAGTGTAGATTTTATCTAGTTCATCTCTGGCTTCCTTATAAATTTCCTCGAGATACTTGTGCCTCATTTCTTGTGGTATCATGTTGGATTTTTTCATTGCCATTTCATTGATGATGATCTTGCACGAGTCATCCTCCCAGGGAGGTAACCTCTCTACAGGCAGGAGCTCACGGGCTTGCTCAAGCAGGTGAAGCTCTTCAAGGTAGCAGACTGATCTGTGATGCCATTTTTTGCTTCTCCTGTTTCCCCCTGAAAGTAGCACAGAGCTCAGTTTTTTCTTGGCAATATCATTGTAATGGGGATCTCTGGCTATCCTAATTGCAAGCTTAGCATTCAGCTCCTGAATTCTGCTTTTAACACTGGGAAGGGACTTATTAGGCTTATTAGGCAAATCGGGCCTTGCATAGTAGGCTGACAAGTGCGTTCTGGCTACTAGGTACGACATATATATATATATATATATATATATATATATATATGTGTCGTACCTAGTAGCCAGAACACACTTCTCAGCCTACTATGCAAGGCCCGATTTGCCTAATAAGCCAAGTTTTCATGAATTAATTGTTTTTCGGCAACCTAACCTACCTAACCTAACCTAACTTACCTTTTTCAGCTACCTAACCTAACCTAACCTATAAAGATAGGTTAGGTTAGGTTAGGTAGGGTTGGTTAGGTTCGGTCATCTATCAACGTTAATTTTAACTCCAATAAGAAAAAAATGACCTCATACGTAATGAAATGGGTAGCTTTATCATTTCATAAGAAAAAGATTAGAGAAAATATATTAATTCCGGAAAACTTGGCTTATTAGGCAAATCGGGCCTTGCATAGTAAGCTGAGAAGTGCGTTCTGGCTACTAGGTACGACATATATATATATATATATATATATATATATATATATATATATATATATATATATATATATATATATATATATATATATATATATATATATATATATATATATATATATATATATATATATATATATATATATATATATATATATATATATGTCGTACCTAATAGCCAGAACGCACTTCTCAGCCTACTATGCAAAGCCCGATTTGCCTAATAAGCCAAGTTTTCATGAATTAATTGTTTTTCGACAACCTAACCTACCTAACCTAACCTAACCTAACTTTGTCGGCTACCTAACCTAACCTAACCTATAGAGATAGGTTAGGTTAGGTTAGGTAGGGTTGGTTAGGTTCGGTCATATGTCTACGTAACTTTTAACTCCAATTAAATAAAATTGACCTCATACATAATGAAATGGGTAGCTTTATCATTTCGTAAGAAAAAAAATTAGAGAAAATATATTAATTCAGGAAAACTTGGCTTATTAGGCAAATCGGGCCTTGCATAGTAGGCTGAGAAGTGCGTTCTGGCTACTAGGTACGACATATATATATATATATATATATATATATATATATATATATATATATATATATATATATATATATATATATATATATATATATATATATGTCGTACCTAGTAGCCAGAACGCACTTTTTGGCCTACTATTCATGGCCCGATTTGCCTAATAAGCCAAGTTTTCCTGAATTAATATATTTTCTCTAATTTTTTTCTTATGAAATGATAAAGCTACCCATTTCATTATGTATGAGGTCAATTTTTTTTTATTGGAGTTAAAATTAACGTAGATATATGACCGAACCTAACCAACCCTACCTAACCTAACCTAACCAATCTTTATAGGTTAGGTTAGGTTAGGTAGCCGAAAAAGTTAGGTTAGGTTAGGTTAGGTAGGTTAGGTAGTCGAAAAACAAATAATTCATGAAAACTTGGCTTATTAGGCAAATTTGGCCTTGCATAGTAGGATGAGAAGTGCGTTCTGGCTACTAGGTACGACATATATATATATATATATATATATGTCGTACCTAGTAGCCAGAACTCACTTCTCAGCCTACTATTCAAGGCCCGATTTGCCTAATAAGCCAAGTTTTCCTGAATTAATATATTTACTATAATTTTTTTCTTATGAAATGATAAAGCAACCCTTTTCTCTATGTATGAGGTCAATTTTTTTTTATTGGAGTTAAAATTAACGTAGATATATGACCGAACCTAACCAACCCTACCTAACCTAACCTAACCTATATTTATAGGTAAGGTTAGGTTAGGTAGCCAAAAAAAGCTAGGTTAGGTTAGGTTAGGTAGGTTAGGTAGACGAAAAAACATTAATTCATGAAAACTTGGCTTATTAGGCAAATCGGGCCTTGAATAGTAGGCTGAGAAGTGCGTTCTGGCTATTAGGTACGACATATATATATATATATATATATATATATATATATATATATATATATATATATATATATATATATATATATATATATATATATTTATTGTACGATTTATATACTATATTGAGTTTTATGGGAAAATCTCTAAATAATATTTGATGTACTCGTACTGCACTGAGTTGAGGTGTTTGTTTACATGGAGACACGTTGTGAAGGTGCTGACGCTCTGGGTCCTGCTCCATGGCCAGGCTCTAGACTCTAAGAGTAACACCTGCGTTACGTCGCCCTGCGCCTCAACTCTCGCTTCCTACAGTCTACACGTAGAAGTCTGTGACCTGTCTGGACTTCGTCTTTACGGCGCCCTGCTGCTTCATCGGGAAGGGAGAGCTACACACAGTGCCAGGTTAGTGCTGTTGTTGTGTAGCACTAACCGCTAGCTATTATGGGCTACATACGGACACCCTACAACAACAACCGTAAACAATACAACACACAAAATTCAAATCGGTATCATTTATGGAAATACAGTTCGTCTGTAATACATCTGAAAATTAATAGGAACTGTTCTGAACCATAATGAAATCTGACCCAAGTAGCAATTGGGTCAACCCTTGTGTTGTGTTTCCACAATGGTCACCCAAGTTAAAATCAGTGAATACCGATTTTAATGTTCAAAATTTCCCCATAGATATGAAATCCCCATGGCACAGTGGTAAAACACTGACCTAACCTAACCTAATGTTAAAAAAACTTAGGATTTTTGGTTTAATAAGATATCAAGATGTTTGATATCTTAAATCAAACATCTTCACAGACTTCTACATGTAGACTGTAGGGAGCGAGAGTTGAGGCGCAGGGCGACGTAACGCAGGTGTTACTCTTAGAGTCTAGAGCCTGGCCATGGAGCAGGACCGAGAGTGTCAGTATTCGAACCCCAGTTGGAAACAGACCCAACTATAGGATGGGTTAACCCAAGTATCGCGCTTCCAAAAGGGTCGCCCAAGTTGGAAAAGACGAACGCTGAAAGAATATTGTTGAAAACATCTTGATAACTGATTAAACCAAAATTATTTATTAGTCAGAAGAAAGACAGAAACGCGATCTATATGTAAAACCTCTACCAGACAAATATTTTAAGTAAAACCGAAGATATTTGTAGTTGTATAAAAGTGGCAGTTTTCATCGCTCGTCGAGCTCGAAAACCGCAGCATTCATCTCAGAACCATGCCTATTTCATGCAGATTCCTTAATAAACGTAAGAGTTTTATATGTCACAAGAAAGACAGATATATAAGCTTCGTTCTAAATACCTTACCATGGGCATATTTAAATTTAAAGCGAAGATACGTGTACTTTTATAATAGCCGAGCTCCGACTCCGGACAGATCGATCGACGGAGCAACTCTCTCAGAACAATGCTTATTTCACGTAAATTTGTAAATAATCGTAAATTTTTTATATGCCTCAAGAAAGATAGGAATATAAGGCTCATTTTAAACACTTCATCATAGACATAATTAAAGTTCTAATGAAGATTCATGTACATATTTTAATAATCGCCGAGCTCCGACTCCCGTACAGACTGAGCGACAGAGCAACTCTCTCAGAACAATGTTTATTTTACGTAAATTCGTTAATAAACACAAATGTTTTATACGTCTTAAGAAAGAGAGAAATATAAGCTTTATTTTAAATACATTACATTAGACATATTTAAAGCTCAAGTGAAGATATATATGTTTTTATAGTTTCGTTCAGTAGCTTTTCGGTCATGGAGTGCAGATGCCTACGCACTTGCCAATATGTTGTGTAATTAACAAAGATACGCTAATAAAGCCTAAAATATTACATGCCTCCAGAAAGACTGAGCTATAATCGTTATTGTGAGTGCATCAAAGGAAATATATCATGTTGGAGACCAATGATATAGTAATTTTAATTTAAGTTTCGACTCCCGCCCGGGCGAGAGAGATGGGGCGACTCTCGCCCTATCTATTGGAGATTCTGTCCACTAAAGACCCAAAGCTACTCAAACCCTCCTAGCATTACGTAAGCAATGAAGTAATATGGTATATTTACTCGCTATAATGTGGATGCTGGATGCAGAACATGAGAAAACATAATTTTACTCTGAAAAAATATCATTTCATAACAAAATAAGATGTAAATATGTAATATCAAAGGAAGTCGACGGTCCAAGCAACAATATCGTGGAGCGACTTATCCAAGATATATTGCTCTCTGGAAAGTGTTTGCTGGCATATCAACCTTCTGTACAGTGATCCAGTCGTTGAACTTCTCTGCTCAAATTATAGCAAATTTAATTTATGATGTTAACAAGTAGAATGCGTATTTTTAATCAAATCTAACGATATTAACAAGTAGAATGCGTATTTTTAATCAAATCTAACATAACTAGCCAGAAAACGTTAAAGATTATTTAAAAATACATGGCTGGAAGTTAAATCAACTCCATAGAACAATATTTTTGTTATAGATACTAATCGTTATTTGTTGGTATGCGTTCGCTACTTAAACTATCATGTACAGGTACTGTATTTATGTAAAATCTCCGTTTCTTCGCACATGGAACACGGAACCTTACACGCTCTCTGATTTACTGTTTAATAGAGATTCACAAATAAAGCTCATGATTGTATACGTTATCAAAAAGGCAGTGACAAAGTCATTTTTGCGTTTTAATCACAGATTAGATCTTAGTGAGATAGGAAAGATATTCATATTTTAAAGAAGGATTTTTGAACCATCGCTCTCCCTATCGATAGAAACTAACTTTTTTTTTTGTTATTATTAACAAGCTTAGGTATACACAGCAATGTGCTGTTACCCTATTCTATATGAAAGATTACACAGTGTATATCAAAAACTAGCTATAAGTTCATCAAATATTCCCATCTCACAGGATGGTTAGTTATACATGGAATCAGGGGATAAAATACCAGCCTCAATAAAAAAAAATCAACTGTGACTAACAATCAGGTGAGAACATAAAATGTAAGGCTGATCTATTAGCCTCCGTTAGCAAAATCCGGGTACAGCATAAGAATATCTTCTAATATTCCTAAGTGTATGAAGTAATTACAGAGTTCAAAGTACCTTATACCATTTGGTCTGAAGTCACTTATAACAGGGCAATCACAGATATAGTGTTGGTGAGTATGTCCCAGCTCTTGTTCACATAGTTTACTATTGGAATGTTCACCATTGGGGGCTATTCATTACCTGCAGCCACCTGCGATACATATTGATATCCTAGACTAATTCTGGCAATTACAATGTCACACTGTCATTGTGACACTAGTGGAAGTTTTATGCTGTCCGTTCATATAATTCTCGATTCTAAACATGTTTACTTAGTTTAGTTCATTAATTATGCACCCCATATCATCTTGTGGGCAGTAGTGGAAAAGGTTACAGAGGCACATAAACATGTCATAGCTCTTTATACTCTTGCTTTCTGGCTTTTGTGTGTCAGTGACTGCTCTTCTGTCTTCCCTAATTTCCTAAAATATTGCGGCTTTGACAGAAGAGATTGGAATGCCCATATCCCACTCAACTTCAGGTTTATCACATTCAGTTTTAGCTGCCTTGTTTGTGTCATCATGCTGGACAACACCTATATGAGAAGGTATCCATACAAATGAGACTTTGAAACTTCTACTGTTTGCAATAATAATGTTGTTTATAATGGATGTTACAGCTACAACCTTTTGAAGATCAATGCTAATTTTATCTAGATAATGTAATAAACGAAAGTTTTCTATGTCAACAGAAAGGCAGAAATATAAGCTACACTTTAACCCTTAAAGTGCGCATCACGTCATATGACGTGCTGGACGTTGTTCCAGTCAACTGCGCATCACGTCATATGATGTGTTGGAGTACTACGCAAGATTTAAACAGCCCGCGGATACACGGGGTTCACCACACCTTCATCAGGGCTCTTGTAAACAGACGCCATTTTAAAAAAAAATCGTGGGCCAAACTCCCGGGTGTTATTGGCCGCAGTGTTGAGTGAGCAACCAAGCCTGACGCACGCAGCATGAGCTAACAGCACTGCTGTTCAGCTTGTGACCACAGCATCGCCTAAAAATGCCAAATTATACTTGTTCATGCTATTATGTAGCGATGATATTATTACAGAAGACCCCTGACTGTGATAAAACTGACCAGGGTTCTGATAATAGCAGGATTGTGGTGATATTTAGCGCTGTGCGCCATGGAGGGAGGAGTAATGCTGTGGGAGGGAGGGTGGTGGCGATGTCTTTTGACTGTGGCCACCTTTTATTGACTGCACTCAGCATACCAGCTTAGTGGTTCGCTATCTACATGTTACTATCTACTATCTACATATTTAGCACTGTGCTCCATGGAGGGAGGAGTAATGCTGTGGGAGGGAGGGTGGTGGCGTCGTCTTCTGACTGTGTGTGGCCACCTTTTATTGACTGCACTCACCATACCAGCTTAGTGGTTCACTATGGTGAACACAAATGTAGATACTTATATATAACGTGTGTATAGAGTGTAATAACAGCTATAGGAGTAGGTTGGGAGCTGCCATTTTGGTGAGGGAGGTGAGTCGTCTGCACGACTTATCATGTTGTTCACTGGTGGCCACTAGGGTCTTTGGGCACCATACCAGTTTACTTGTACAAGTATGGTGAATAAAACAGGTAGATACTTATATATAATGTGTGTATATAGCGTAATAACACCACAAACAGTATTGTTAGAGGAGAAATATTAGTGCATCTGGCCTTGAGGGCGGCCGCCACCAGCTGACTTTGGGAGTAGCTATGTCTTTGTGCCTTTACTCACCATACAAGCTTAGATGTACAGTTATGGTGAAAAAAACATGTAAATACTTACATATAACATCTGTATATAAAAGCAAAAACAGTATGGTGGGAGGAGAAGGGTGGCAAGTCAGGTGAGGTGAGGGAAGGAGGGAGTGGCAGCCAGTGGTGGGCTGCCACTGCCACTGCCACTCAGCATACCAACTTAGTGGTTCGTTATGGTGAACACGAATGTAGATACTTATATATAACGTCTGTATATAGTGAATAAAAGCAAAAACAGTATTGTGGGAGGAGAATGTGGGTGAGTCAGGTGACTTGAGGGAGGGAGTAAGTAGCAGCCAGTGGTGGACTGCCACTCAGCATGCCAACTTAGTGGTTCGTTATGGTGAACACGAATGTAGATACTTATATATAATGTCTGTATATAGTGAATAAAAGCAAAAACAGTATGGTGGGAGGAGAATGTGGGCGAGTGAGGTATTGAGGGAGTGAGTGGCAGCGAGTGGCTGGCTGGTGTGTGGCGATCACTCCTCGTTACTTTTTGACTCATAATAGCAACTTAGTGGTTCGTTATGGTGAACAAAACATGCAGATACTTATATATAACCTCTGTATATAGTGTAATAACCGACAAAGTATTTGTTCACTGTTTGATGAACATAATTGAATCAACAATATGCATATTATATTTTTGAGTACAGCAATGATTCACTAATTTTATTATATAAATATATCACACAACTCACTATTGAATAATATTACAGCAAAAAAAACTACGAAAAATCAATCAAGAGACATTGAAATAATTAGGTAATTATCTCCTTGTGGCAACTCTGACCTGACAGCCGGCGAGCAACAGAACGTCTGGGACGCACGTTGAGTCAGTGCCTGTTTTTTGCCAGACTTCCCTACCCTATAGCGAGCAATATATGCACCTTAGGATTTTATTATTTTTCCCATGATCAGTGAACACAAATTAACAGATTTAGAAGAATTTTTTTTTTTTTTTTTTTTATGCGCCTGTGGGCGACACATGCTAAATAGCCAGGCACCATTTAAGGGTTAAACTGTGCCTGGGTGTGCGAGCTTGCTTTTTGTGAGTGTTTCCTTCAGGGGTTGCCGTTTCTTTGCTTTTCTGGGGAGTTCTGCCTTTCTTCTGTTCCTCTGCGAACGCTTGGGTGTGGATTTTTACGTTTTCTGTCTGTTACGGTCTGGGCCCTGGAGTTTGGGCTTGGTGTCCGTGCCTGTTTATGCTTGCCTTGTGTCCCTCTGTTTTTGGTCCATTTTGGCTGTTTCTGTGGGGATTCTGTTTGGGTGCTATGCTTTGCCCTTTCTGTGGTGTAATTCCACCGGCAAATGTGGTGGTTTCGGCTCCTCTGGGTTCCTTTGGGTTCTTTGGTTTCGTTCCAGTGGTTTTTTCCTCTTGGGCCCCTTTTTTGGAATTCAGGAGGCTTTTAGTTACCTCGTGTGTGACCCGGTTCTGCCTTCGGGGGTTCCAGGGTCTTCCTGGCTTGCAGGCTGCTCTTTTTGGGTCTTGGCACGTGTTGTGGTTGTGCCGGAGCCTTGGTTTTATTTTGTCGAGGTGGGCCTTTCGGTGCGGTTTTTGTGCTCTCGGTGCTTTCTTAGTCTGGCCGGCCCGGTGCTCTCTGCCCACCGGTCGGCGGCTTGTTTTTTTCTTTTCTTTCTTTATTTTTTTTATTTCAATTTATATATACTGTATAAACATTTTCTTTCGGATGGGGCTCTGATCCCTTCGCTGTTGACGGGGTGCTAGGGGGGAGGAGCCGGCTTGCTCTATTGGCTTGTGCTTGGTCCCGCAGTTCGTAGGTGTTTTTGGTCGTCTTCCAGCCTCTGATGGTGTCGGGTGGCTTCTCCTCGTTTGGGGGGGTTCGGGGCTGGAGGGTGGGGTTCTTCCCCTGCGCTTCGTCATGTCATCTTGGTGTGGGTGCGCTTGGACGTGGTAGTTTCGCCCCATCCTTTCCGGGGTTCCCACCTGTTCCAATGCTGACACGGGACTTTGCGGATCTGTGGTTTTTCTGGACTGAAGAAGCACCCTGAATTCTTTGCCCCTCTTCGGATGACTGTTGTCTCCGGTCCTGCTTCTGTTGGGGCCGGGTGGAGCCATCTCAGCAAGATGGCTTCAGGGTCAGTCAGGTTTGACTCGCAAGTCAACCCTGGCCTCGGGCTGGGCTTGGGGAGCAGAAAAATTCCCAGAATCCCATCAAGCGGGACCCACTGGAGCTCACTCAGAAAAAAGCAAGTGAAAAATTTCATTACATTCAATGTTTTTGTTTTTATGCTTTATGTGGCTACTGGAAGAGATGAGCATTCTCTTCCCATAGCTCATGGTAAGCTTTACCCACTAGTTTTCTCTAGAACATGAATATCTAACAAAATCTAACATTTCTAACATCTAGAACATGTTATTGGTTAACAACAAGGTTCCCAATTTCTGTTGGGTGAACAGATGCAAACAGTTAAGGATTGGTGCCTAATCAATTCTCCTTGGCAAGGATATGAACCTAGACCATACTATAAATGTAACAAATGAAATACAGTGGTACCTCCCATAACGAATTTAATCCGTTCCATGTTCGTCATGTGAAACGGACGTCATACAAAACGAGTGTCCCCCATGTAACCAGTGTGATGCACTGTGTTTATTGTGAAATTTCCCCAGTGTGCATGACATCAAATGTTCCCCAAAATATAATTTTTCTTTGTAAAATGATAAATTACCGTCCCTGAACATGTCTATGTAAAAATAATTACCAAATTCCACTTACTTTGGCTGTGAGGGCGTGGACAAGGTGCGCTGTGATGTCATCAGGGCCTGGTCGCCCGTGTGGGAAGCTCCCAGACACGGTCGCGCAGGCCATTCAAGCACCGCGTGTTGCCACAAATATACTTTCAAATATTTTTCCTATGCATTTCCAATGCGGTTTTATTTGTTTCTTTTATCGTATATGATGCATATTTGTGACCTTTACAATATGTATACAGTAGAATGTTCATAATTTTCCATGAAACTGTGATACATGTGTCAGTAATGTGTCCACAATAAATGTTTATTGTCACAATATTACGTGGTAAAAATTCACTAATATTACAATATGTACAGTTTCACATACTATTTACACAGTAACACACTGTATTACACACTCAGTACTTTGGAGGTGCATAATAGTCAACGAAGTAGTCCATGGTACACAGCGCGACTTTGCTTTCCTTGCACCAGCTACAGATAGATTTTTGTTTCCTGTTTCATCGTTATGTGTGCTTGCAAATAATGCACTCGCGTGCACCCTTGGCTTTAGTACTTGTAGGTGGTATGTAGCCAAGCTTGTAAAGCATAAAGTAGTATTGAAACGATTATAGGAAAAGCTCAATTTGTAAGGTAGTCTTGAAAAGATCGCTTTGTAAGGTCCCACACAGGAAGAGATTCAGCTAGCCTCAAAGAGTGTCCATCAGTCAGGAAAAGATTCAGGTATTCTTAAAAATATCAATGAACACCACCACCATGGAAGCCGCTAACACTGTTCATCTATGCTACTTGTATCAGATGCATCATCACTGAACGCAGAAAACGATTCATCTATGTATCATCTATATACATTAGAGATGGCAAGGGTGGGGCTCAGAGCTACACCTGGATACGCTCGCTGTATCATCCTCATAGGTGCTGTATCACAGGCATCCGACCGTTGTGTTAAGCCCTTATTGCGCCTAGCTTCCCCAATGTTATGACCCTTATGTTCTTCAAACAATAGGGTCTGAATTGCACTGACTGAGTACAGTCTTTCAACACCGTGTGGGACAGGTGTTTGAGAGCCAGAGGCATGTGTGCTACAAACGGTTGCTCACGCACTACTAACCCAGCCAGCAGCCCTTGTCTTTCATATTCGTTATAGCAAAAGGTTCGTTCAGTGTTTGTTGGGTAGGCTGCTCCATTATGACAATCTTTCTTTGTTTCAAATGTGTTCCATTTGTTTTGTATTTATCACTTACGTCTCAATAATGGAGCAGCCTACCCGACAAACACTGAACGAACCTTTATGACATTTGTCCATTTTTCAAATTGTTTCAACAGTTCTTTTATTTTTCGTTTTTTTTTTTTTAAGAAACATGGAGCAGTCGACCTGTAGACCACCGAACGAACCTTTTTGACATTTGTACTGGTTTTCAAAATTCTTCATTTTTTTTATTATTTACGTTTTTTGTATGTAAGAAACATGGAGCAGCCTACCTGCCGACCACCGAACGAACCTTTTGCTATAAGACAAATGAAAAATAAATATTGAACACATTTGAAGAAAGGAAAATGTCATAATGGTTTATTCAGTGTATGTAAGGTAGGCTTCTCCATTATTGAGACGTAAATGACAAATAAAAAACAAATGGAACACATTTGAAACAAAGAAAGATTGTTATAATGGAGCAGCCTACCTGCCGAACACCGAACGAACTTTTTTGACATTTGTTGTATATCAGATATTTCATTTCTTTTTTCCTACAAAAACGTCAATGCTTTGCAACATCTCAGCAGTCACCCTTTTATATCCCAGCATCATTAGCATCTTTAAACAAGAACAACAAAATTTATGTGCATCGTCGAAGGCGTCTAAGAATGTGCAAGCAGCAGCGCGACCCCACCATGTTGTGTTGACGTTACTCAAACCAGCGTTCGTCATACGGGACGATTTGACGCCGATCGGGCCGTTCGTTACCCAAAATATTCGTCTTTTGGGGCAATCGTTATGCGAGGTACCACTGTATTATTATTATTATTATTATTATTATTATTATTATTATTATTATTATTATTATTATTATTTCAGTATAATTATATAATTTTAACTGTTATTTGCATTTTAGTAATGGGGAAGATCAAGATGGAGGTTAAGAAAAAGACTTACCATCTTCAGCAGCATGGTAAAGTGAAGAAGCCATTAAAACAAGATTACTCTGCGAACATTATGAAGAAAGTCTCTAATATTAAAAAAAATTTGTGTGTGGAGACTGTAGATACTTTACATGGGAGCCATAATAAACAATTGTTGGATAATCCATCAAAAAATAAGCGGAAAAAGAATAAAAAGGAAAGCAAAAATAAATTTAGAAAATTACAAGATAATGAAGTCTCCAGCACAACACCCTTCATAATTGACCCGGTAAGTTCATTCCTTGAGGTTACCTTGAGATGTTTTCGAGGTTTAGCGTCTCCGCGGCCCGGTTGTCGACCAGGCTTCCTCGTTGCTGGACTGGTCAACCAGGCTGTTGGATGCGGCTGCTCGAAGCCTGACGTATGAGTCGCAGCCTGGTTGATCAGGTAATTTTTGGTCAGGTAGCCTTTGTATCCATAATCGAGCATCTCGCACATTTTGTTATGATTTTCTTTGTTTACTCTAGATCATGAAATCACAGCACTATAGTAAGCACAGTGTCTGCACTATAGTTAGTGTACAACACTATAGTTAGCACTTAATGTCTTGTTTAGAAATATTTATCTGGATGTTTAAAAATGTTATTATACAGTACTCTATAACATTTGATGAGAGGGCATGAATGAATGCTTGACATATTTATGATGTGTCATTTCATAGGAGGGAACTGTATGCCTTTAAATGTTTACTGAAGGGTAATGGTGCTATGTGATGCTATTGTATATACTGTACTTGCCTAATTGTGATTGCTGGGGGTTGAGCTTCAGCTCTGTGTTCCCACTTCTTGACCTTCAGTCAGTTGGTATACAGGTTCCTAACCCAATTGAACTTTATCATATTCTAATTTGGAAATATTTAAGATGTCTAATTCAACAATTTCACTTCATAATGTATACCATCTATTCACTACTGACACTGAAAAAGTTCTTTCTAATATATGTGGCTCATTCAAGTACTTTACTCCATTTTCATCTGTACCATTGTTCGTGTACCATCCTAACAGTTTCCCTGAACATTTTTTCATGGTAATGGCTCCTCCAACTCTTGTTTTTTCAGTGCCACAAGGCATAATTCCTTAGTATTTCTTGGTAGCTCCTATACCTTGGTTCTGGTACTGTATTGTAAAAAATTTGGGGAATGGATGGGAGTGTCTTGTTTCAATATCATTAATATACCATATATTTATTGTATTGTTCTCATATTTTCTGGGGGGAGCCCTGTCAGCTCCCCAGAGCTATCTAGGCTGATATCAAAGTCTAATGTCAGACTTTGGCATCAGTCATGTGTATAGAGTTCTGTGGGCCTACCGGGGACCATAAACCAGAACCTGGCCCCCTCAAGAGAGGCATGAGGAGCAATGGCCTATAGAAATCCCCCGTGTGATTGGAAGCATTCTATGTCCGCCATCGACCGGGTTAGGCAACCAGAAAGATTGGCGTTCCAAAACAAACCCCTATTCAAGTGAAAATTGCTACAAAAAGCCGGACAAATGGATAGAACTCCCCAAACAGAAACGAGCAAACAAATATGACGTCACACGTCGCCGCGCCTCCGTCTGAGCAGCTCCCCCCCCCCTCCCTAGGAAGGGGGAGGGGGAGCCCCAGACCCCGCGGTGGTGCACTAGCCAGGAGATATTCTTTAGTACTCAGGCTGCATGCGCCTAGGGCTTCCTTCCCTAGGTGCCAGGTAAGTACTGCCCTTGGACCTTGGGGCCCCACCTTCTACAAGTGCCTTGGGTTCTGCCTCTGTTAGGCCGTATACTGCTCAGTTTTTGGCTGCCCTTTGTGTGCTAGGGTGTTCTGTCTCCCTTGTTTGCCTCAGGGTAGGGGCGGTTTGCACTGGTAAGGGGCGCAGGATACTGCACAGCTTGTTTTCCCCAATCATAGCAGCCGGCTCTGTTTTGCCTGGGTACTCTGTCCTCTTGCAGGGGTTTTCTTTTTCTTTTTGTTTGCCTGCCTGGTGGGGGGGGGGCCTGCTTTGGTTATTGCCCCATGTGTACCGAGTACGTTTCTTTATTCCGGTGGTTCCCCTGCTAGGTCCCCATGAGTGTACACTTCCCAGGGGGTTCAGTTCTTAGAAAGTTGTTTCGTAGACTTGGGTGCCGGTTAGGAGTACCCTGCCTGGGCTTCCCTGAGCGTGAGTTCCATCTCAGGACCCTGGGAATCCCCACTTGGGCGCATGGGTTCGATGGATGTGACCCCTGAGTTCCCTATTGCCTTGTGCACGTTCGAGGGTTTCTCTGTCCCCTTGTTTCAGGATGACTCACTGTTTTTGTCTCCGTCTGCTGCCTGTTTGGTCTGGGGCACCTTCGACCTGGAGTCCTGCGAGTTTTGTTACTTGTTTGTGACTCGGTTACCCAGTCTTATGCTGACTATGCGGGTGCAGGTAGCATGGGCGTTGCACGTTGGGTTCAGGTGGTTGCAACGCGCTAGGTTGTTTGCTCCCCGGAAGCCCCGAGGCTGCCCTATTTTGATTGTTGTGACGGGGCTTGGGGGTGTTGGTTGCTTCGGTTTCGTTTCCGTCCATGCCCCCTTGTCTTTCCCTTTTTGTGGTTTAGTCTGACCCCCACTCCCCTTCCTCCCTGCATTCGGTTCCTCACCATCTGTGGGTTCGGGGTTGGGGCAGGAATTTGATGGTCTTGAGACTCGGGCAGTCTCAGGGATTTTCCCTTCCTGGGTAGTGACGGAGGAATTTGAACCTGTTCCTCCAGCCGTATTGTATGAGTCTGCCAGTGGGCTCCCTACCTTAGTATTTATTTGGCTACCCCAGCTTTTTCTTGTGAGGCTGGGGCGTTGAGGGGAACGGCTCAGTCCTGGGGCCTGCTGTGGAGGTTCGCGGGGCTGGGAAAAGGCTGACTTGGGGGGGCCTTGGGCCCTGTTGGACCCTGCCGGGGTTTTACACCCTCTGAGCGGGGTTTGCGGTTATGGGGAGTGGGGTTTTTTCTTTCCCCCCCCTCCATGTACAAGTTGTTGTTCCGTCGGTTCTGTCGGTTCCGTCCTATCAATGGGTACTCTTCTCCGTTTTCTCACCCTTCTTCTCTGGGACGCGACTTCTCCGTCATGTCGGGGTCATGTTCCCTTCGTATCGGGGTTCTGCATGACCTTTGGTCTCGGGTGTGACTGCCTTTATGAGCCTTCGTGATTTTGTGTTTGCTTCTGAAGGATCTCGAAGGTTCGGGGAAGTCTTCGAATCTTCCCGTATTATTGGAACATCTGTCATCTTGTGGTGAGGCTTACCTCCAGTCCTTTCTTTGACTCGTTGATCCTCTTCTGTGCTGCTTCTTGGTTTTCGGTACTGTCTCGTTCTTTTGTAATTATATCTTCTATCCGTCCTCTATCTCGGCACTGCTAACATTCCTTAAATACTCCTAGTTGGGGCCCTCCCTGCCGGGCGGGGTTGTTCGGTTCGAACCTCATGCCTCCTGCGCATGCGCCGTGGGAGTTTTTGTTATGGACGGTGTACAAAAGTGTTGGTGTTCCACATCCTTTTTCTTTCGAGTGCTTCACCTCTCTTGCTCGTCTTATCTCTCTAGTCCGGGCCCCGTAGATATTGGGGGTGTTCTTGATTACCAATATGGGGAAGACACCTAGTTTTTCTCTGCATACGGGTGTGGGGCGCCGCATTCGCCTCTTCCCTTCTCTTCTGCATGTGAGGCTCTTGCCTTATTCCACTAGTGGTGCTCCCGGATTATTCTTGGCTACAATGTGTCATGACGCATTAGTGCCTGCGCTCTGCAGTTGAGTTTATGCCGACGGGTGTCTCTTTCTGCCTGGCGCTGGTTTGTGGTTTTTGGATGAGTGTTGGGGAGTAATTGCAGTGTTATGTTTAGCCCATTGCGTGCTTCTTCCTGTGGCCTTCCTTTTCCATCTGTGTTATTTGCTACACGGTAGGGCACGGCCCTGTCTTTTGTGGTCTTATCTTGGACACTCATTCCTTGGCCGTCATGCAGTGCCTGGCTGAGCCCTGCCATATACTGTGGCTTATACATGCACCAAATCCACAAGGGCCGTGATGAGGATTCGAACCTGCATCCAAGAGCATCCCAGACGCTGCCTTAATTTGTTCATTTGATTTGTTCATTTCAATTTATTCATTTGATGCGTCACACAATTGTGATTTCTGTGTCCAATTGCACCAATTCGCGAGCTGTCTGTGGCGTGCTTCACCTCCGACCTGCTTTTATGCTGCTTGAGCCGTCCTGGTTCTTGGATTGGGTGCTCTCTTCTCTTCTCTTCTCTTCTCTTCTCCTCGGTTTGTTGTAGCCCCTTCACTTCTGGATTGTTTTCCAAGGCTCTTTTTCTTGTTGGCGTTGGCCTCTGGGGGTCGGGTCGGGGGCTTCATGCTCTCCTCTGATGCCTGGGTTTCGGCTCTTTTGATTCTCCTGGTAGGTTTGTTTGCTTGCAGCCGTCCCCTCCTTTTCTGGCGAAGACTGACACGGCTGCTTTCCAGAGAGGTCCTTGGGTTGTTGATGCTTGGTTGGTCTGGCCAGGGGTGCATCGTGTGTTGCATGAGGCATGAGAATGGTTGCGGTGATTCGTTGTTCTTTGCGTGCCACGGCTGCTGTGACCGGGGTCACGCTTTGGGTTGTTCCGGTTTCCTTTCTTCTTTGTTCCAGGGTGCAGTTCTCTCGGGTCGTCTGCGGGGTGGTTTGGTCCTGCCAGCCTGCTGTCTCTCCCCGTTGCCCAAGTCGTTCGTAGGTTGCTATGCGTTCCTTCATTGACGTTCCTGGGCCTTGTCAAGCCTGTGTGGCATTGGGTTGGCAGTTGCAGTTTTTGTTTCCGCTTCGAGTTGGGGAGTGAGCGACTTCCGCCTCCAGGGTTAGGTCCCTCTTGTTTTCGTCTTTGGGTAGGTAGCTGCAAGGAGCCAATGGGGCTCCCCCCAAAAAACTAGCGTTGAATGTAATGAAACGCCATTTTCTGGGCGAGTCCTGGAGGCTTCCTGGCAACCCACCCTCCCTCCGGTTGGCGTTTTTTTCGCGCTTTTTGATATCCAGCCTCAGAACGGGTGTGAATGGCCGGTGCGGGGTCATTTAAGCCCCCTTCCCCCAACCAGGGAGGGAGGGGGGAGCTTCGTAGACAGCAGTGCGGCGACGTGTGAAGTCATATTCATTTGCTCGTTTCTGTTTGGGGAGTTGTATCCACTTATTCGAGTTTTTGTAGCAATTTTCACCAGAATAGGGGTCTGTTTTGGGACGCTTACCTTTCTGGGTGCCTAACCCGGTCAATGGCAGACATAGAATGCTTCCAACCACATGGGGGTTTCTATAGGTCATTACTCCTCGTGCTTCTGTGAGGGAGCCAGGTTCTGGCTCATTGTTCCCGGTAAGCTCACAGAACTCCATACACACGACTGATGTCAAAGTCTGACATTAGCATATCAGCCTGGATAGCTCCTGGAGCCTCCGGAACTTGCCCAGAAAATGGCATTTCATTACATTCAATGCTGGTTTTTTCTATTTAATGCCTCTTCACAACCATTAAAATGAGGGAAAAAGGATAATTATGATAATTCAATCTGCATAAATGATATAGAATATTAGGATTTGTCTCCAGAATCAATGATGTTGATCTTTACTCGTTACATGTATCTCATACATTTTTTCTTCAGATACAAAAATCTTCAAAGCCTTCAGTATTAATGTCGTCCACTGCTCTGAAGAATCAGTGTGTAAATTTGTCTCTTCTGTGGATAAATTACAAGCAACGTTCGACTCCACTTGTCAAAGCTCAGTCAGACTGGTACATGCAGGTAAGAAGTAAAGTACCTCTAATAGTTAATTTAGATAAACAGATATGACCTTTTGTAATTTGTGAAGATTATATAAAGGGATTCATTCCAGTTCCTACTGATAATGTGCCCCAAGGTAAGGTAACCGAGGGATAGAAGAATATTGTACAATGTTAAATGCTTTGATAGAACTAATATGATTACCGGTAAGTCATTAGCCAATGATGAACATCAGCTAATGTAATCAAAATTTGGCTTTGAGGGAATATGAAAAGTGAGGGAAAAGAAAAGTAAGAAAATGATCTATGCTATTCTTTTACCTATACAAAAGGTCTCTGTCCTCTGGACAAGGTTCATGTTAATAAGGTAGACTCATTCTCAATATCAGAACCTAAAGACTATTTTAACACTTTCGCGAAACGGCGTTTGAAAAAAAAACTTTGCCCAAGTGAAATGAGCGTTTTGGCGATTGAGCTGCAACATTTAAAAGTGTATACTCTTTTGACTGTCCTGACGTTAATTTTCGATGTACGTTTTTCATTTTTGTACCGATGTGCTCGCAATAGAATGTTCTAGAAGGACATAAGTATAAAATGTAACCAAAACATAAGTTAGATCAGCACCAAATAAAAAACTATGTCGTTGACTAGCCGTGAGCGCCAGACAGCAACGAAATGTTTCTACTATCTTCAGGGTTGTCAACTCCACACTTGTCCTACAGGGTTAATTTTGGTATCACTGAAATCGCAATAAAGTTCTCTACACATACATAAGTACTGGTATATAAATATAGACTCAATGTCGCAACTGACCCACAAGAGTGTGGGAAGTGGCCGAAGTGTTACCCGCGGCGGCATATTGGTGAAACCCGCATTGAAAAGTGTATATTCAATTCACTGTCCTGACAATTTTTTTCGATGTACGTATTTCATTTTTGTACCAATGTGTTCGCAATAGAATGTTCTAGAAGAACATAAGTATAAAACGTCACATAAGGATGCGTTCGACCGGCAACAAATATAAAAACTACGTCGATCATACTCGTCGTGTCAATAATACAATTGTTTTACCACGATGATTCACTGCCATGCCGTTCTCCCAAATAAGCTCTTCGGCTATTAGAGAGAGAACGTAAATTTCATGGCGAACATTTCTAAATTATCCCCAAGTAGATCGGATTGAAATTGGAATTTATACAAATATTTATTCTCGTGACTCCCGTCAGAGTCAGCTTTGCGGAACCCGCACAAAACTTAGTGACGCGCTCGCGTGCCACTGAGTGGCGAAAGTGTTAAAATGGTCCCTATTGTGTTTTAACCACTGCACTGCATGAAGTACCTTTTGGCACTCTTGAGAGTTTTTTTTTAATTAGGTTATATTTTAATGCAGTATTTTTTAATGTTTTCATTACTCTTTGTGTTTTAAAATGGAAATACAATAGTTGAGTTTGGAAACATTTTGACATTGACTTTACCTAAATATTTATAAAAACAAAAATATGTCTTTGACAATTGCACTAAGATGTTTTTGCAAAAAGCAAGTGCGCAATGCAGTGGCTAAGGGAGCTGGGAGCTTACTGAATATAGCTCAATCCAAACCAAAATGATCAACAAAGATTCCTATTAAAGGTGTCGCTGGGTTGGAGTGCCACCAGCACAACAGCCTCCAGATCTTTCTCGTTATATGTTTACTGAAACTCGCACATTGCTGCAAATAAAGGAGAGAAAAGAAAGTGAGGAACCAAGTGCAACCAAATGGCATGATTCAGAAAATACCTTTGATGTCAGCATGGCCATATTTCTGAGCCCACGAGGGCTCTGAGCACTAATAACATGGAAGACTGGATGCTAATGGAGGATTAGTTGGATTACCCTTAACTAAAAGTAGCATTAGACTTGACTGTCCTATAATAGCCTTGGGCTTTGATTTCATCACAAGACATCGGATTGTGACAATGTGGTTTGGCTCAGGGAGTACCCCGAATGTCAGCCCAGGACATGTTGCCAAAAACAGCAGCCAAAGCCGCAAACTTGCGAACGTCATGGGCTCGGGGAGATGTGGATGATGCGGAGATGAACCCTGCGGACGACCTGGAAGACCCGCGTCCTGGAACAGGGAAGAAGGAAAACTGGGTCCACCAAAGCGTGTCCCCAGCCACCGAGGTTATGGCGCGCAAATAATGGCGAAAACCTGCAACCGGACACAATACATGATACACGTATTGTGTCCGGTTTGGGTCCTTGGTCTCCCATTTGGTCTGCTTGTCTGCTTGCCAGGGGTGTGGTTCTTTCACAGCTCGCCGGGTTTGGGTTCCTGGTGAACTGGAGAAAGTCCCATCTGGTTCCGTCTTGAATTCGGACTGGACCTTGCCCAAGATTCGCAGATAGCATCCTTGTCTCTCCCAGTGGCAGCGTTGCTTCAGCTGCCGTTCTGCTGTCTGCTTTTTTCTGAGGGGGTCCCGGGTCACTCGGCAGTTGCTTGAGCAGCTGTGTGGAAGTCTAAACTTCGCTGTGATCATTAACCCACTGGGTCGGGTTTGTCTGCGGTGTCTGGTCTGGTTCCTTTGGGGCCATCCCTTCTGCTGCTCTCGTGATCACTGGCTTCATCCCCGTGGGGGCCCTTGCATCGATTGCTGCTTCTCTGGCTTCCTCTTCTAGCTTTTCGGGGTTTGGTGCCTTGGTGCCTCCCAGATCCCTGCCTTCATGTGTTCGAGGATGCCTCCTCTCTCAGCTGGGGCTTTGTGACCGGTGCTCACTGGGCTGGCCAGGGGAGTTTTTCCGCCGGGCTCATAGCACGGTGCGGGAGTTTGCGGCAGTGTAACTTTGTTCTGCGTCTGATTCGGCTCTCGAGGCTCTACGATCTGGCTGTTTTCGGACTGCGCTCTGGTGATTCATTGCCTGAACCGCGAGGGGGGGAAGTCTGCAGTCCTTGGCCCTTTGGGGCTGGTCTCTTTGAGTGGCTTTCTGCTGAGTTCTCGGGGTTTTGCTCTCAATGCGATTCATATCAGGGGCATGTCCAACGTCCTGATGGACGGCCTGTGACGGTTCATCCCCCGTCTCCAAAATGGACGGTTGACGCCAACTCCTTCAGTTGGCTCTGCCGAACATTCGGGTTCCCGGATGTGGACCTCTTCACGCCGGCATAGTTGCGGTGTCTTCCATTCTATGTCGCGCCTTTCCCCGACTGCAAGGCCATCGTGGTACACACTTTTCTGCAGAACTGGTCAAGGTGGGTTTACCTGTACCTCTTCCCTCCAACTCAGCTGTTGCTTCAGGTTCTGGCTCAGTTCGAGTCCTATCTGGGAGGATTCTCCTTCTGGCCCCATGGTGGGCGCCTGTCGGCTGAGTGGACAGCGCTTCAGATTCGTAGTCCTGAGGTTCCGGGTTTGATCCCTGGTGGAGGCGGAGACAAATGGGCAAAAGGTTTCTTTCACCCTGATAATCCTGCTCACCTAGCAGTAAAGAGGTAACTGGGAGTTAGACAGCTGCTACGGGGCTGCTTCCTGGGGGTGTGTAACCAAAAGGAGGCCTGGTCGAGGACCGGGCCGCGGGGACACTAAGCCCCAAAATCATCTCAAGATAACCTTAAGATAAGATGGTGGCCGGCCCAGCCTTCGTTTCAGGCGCTGCTTTCTCAGTGTCCAAACCCGGGCATTTTCTGCGGCTCCGCCTCTTTCAGCAGATCGGGCCAGTGATGTACCGTGCTGGTACCTTGAGTTTCTGCTGCGGGGGTGTATCACCATCTCTATTGTGATAGGGCGACTTCTCTAATGTTGTCCCACCAGTGGTCTTCTTCTCGGCTGCAGTATGAAGTCTCATGGCGGTATTTTCGCCACTTCCTTTCCCTGCGTAGGTTGTCCTAGATGTCGGTTCGTGTTGTGTTAACATTTCTTTCTTGGCTTTTTCTAGATCTTATGCCGAATACTGTCACCCCCAGAACCTGGGCCCATGGTACCTGTTAGGCTCAAACTCCGTAAGACTGGATCCCCAGACTAATATAGCTAATATCAGTCTGATAGCTCCAGGGAGCCTCTGGAGGGCTACCTAGAAAATGGTGTTTCATTACATTCAATGCTGGTTTTTAATTTCTAATTACAATATTCCACAATTGTTGATTTGTAACTGAAGCATTAATAAATATTATTTTCTTGTAGCTTATGAATGAAGAGCCTGAGAAATTACCTACTGATTCATATACAAAGCAGAAACTGAAAGACTTAGCTGGTGAAATTCTCAAGCATGATGTTATTAATTACAACCAAAGTAAGTGCTGTAGTTATATTTTTGTTGTATGTTTCAACTTTATTGAATTGCAGTATTCCATATTATTATTTGTTTATCAGTCTTAAATGCTTCAAACACTGAATTTAACAGCAAGGCATATAAAATGTCAACAATACAAAATTATCAATATAATTTTGTTATAAAACGAGTGAAAGACTATTCACTAAAAAGTATTTTGTATCCTGATTGATGATTCTGTTATCCTGTAATTAGTACTTAAGAATGATTTTGTTTACTAAAACTATATACAATATCATTAACCCCTAAGCTGCTCTGAACTATTTGGCTTTCAACACCCACAGGGGAAAAAAAAAAAAAAAAAAATCGTCTTATAAAAGTGTTCATTTGTGTTCCCTGATCACGGGAAAAATAATAAAAAAATCATAGGTGACGTATTTTGGCCGCAATAGGGCGGGGAAGTCTGGCAAAAAACCCAGCGTTGAATGTAACGAAACGCCATTTTCTAGGTGTGACCTGGAGGCTCCCCGGAACTATACCGGGCTGATGTGTATATATTAGACCGTGGCAACAATCAATCGAAGGAGTTCTAAGCCTACTGGGGACCAGAGCCAGAACCTGGCCCCCTCAAGAGAGGCACGAGGTGCAATGGCCTAAAGACACCCCGATGTAATTGAAAGCAGTCTTTGTCTGCCATCTACCAGGTCAGGCACCCAGAAAGGTAGGAATTCCAAAACAAACTACTGCTGGTCAAAAATTGTGAACTGAAAGCCGAACTGGCAAAGAGAACTTGCCAATTAAAAACAAGAAAACAAATATGACGTCACCACAACCGCCGCGCATCCGTCTGTGCAACCCCTCCTCCCCGGGAGGGGGACGGGGGGTCCCAGACCTCCACGCCGGCAACTCTGCTCAGTTCAGAGGCTGATTATTAAATAACGCGAAAAACCGCCGACCAGAGGGAGGGAGTGATGCCAGGAAGCCTATGGGACTCGCTCAGAAAATGATGTTTCTTTACATTCAACGCTGGTTTTCTCTTTAGAGAGGCCTTTTGGCTTCCCGGAGCTACCTAACCAAAGAAAAGAGGAAAAGGGACTCACTCGGGAGGTGGTCGTCACTTGCTCCTCAACTCAAAGTCGAGACAACAGGCCGTAACCTGCAACCCAAGGTTATACACACCTGAGAAGACCTAGAAACATTAACATGGTAACGTACAGCCAGGACCCTGTTCGACCTCCAAAAGCCCTGTGCCCGAAGATAGGCCGGGACATATTACCAAAACAGCAGCCGAACGTAGAACTTAACAACGGTGTGGGCACGGGGATAGACCGCAGGCTGGCTGGACCAAATAAACCTACGGACAACCTGGGAGACCCGCGCACTGGAATAAGGAAGAAGGGAAACTGGGTCAACCCAAAGCGCGTCCTCTGCCACAGAAGCCGTGGCACACAAATAACAGCAAAGAGCCACAAACAGACACAAAACATGATGTACCCCTGGCCGAACCAACCAAGTATCAACAACCCAAGAACCTCTGCGGAAAGCAGCAGACTCGTTTTTTGTCAGAAAAGGAGGAGACGGCTGCAAACGAAGAAAAGAGCACCAGGACTGAAAGAGCAGAAACCCCTGTGCCGGAGGAGAGCATAAAACTCTCTGACCCGACCCTCAGACCAATTCCAACAAGCAAAGAGCCATAGAAAAACAGTCCTGAACCAAGAGGACCATCACGAATGGAGGAGAAGAGAGCACCCGGTGCAACGACCAGGGCGGCTCAGGTGGGGCATGAGTAGGCCGGAGGTGAAAACAATGCCCGAGAAAGCTTGCGGAATAGAGCAGAAGTGACATCCACCCCAAAAGCAAGTTGCAGCGGCTCCGCCAGCAACGCCTGAAACGAGGCGACAGTTTCTGGCATAAGATGACGGTCCTGAAACAACCAAGAGAGAAAGGACAAAACAACCCAACCAGGATTCGAAGACAAACTACGAAGAGACAGAGTGCCGAAAGGACCGCCAGGAAATCTCGTATTGCCGTCGAGACGAAACTCGCAAGCAGGACACCAACTAAGCCACCTGATCACCATACAAGTGGTGATAAAACCGCATCAAAAAGACCAGACGCGAAAAGCAGAGGAGAAGATCGTACCAGCCACGTAACGGACTGGACTGATCTGCTGAAAGAGGCAGAGCCGCGGGAAGACCCTTGGGTTCGGATATCGAGCAAGAAGCACCTGAAACCAGGGCTGGGTCGGCCACCAAAGAACCAACAGGACCATCGTCTCCTAGTAAGTCTCTCCAAGTGAGCCAGGATCCGGAGCAACATCCGAACCGATGGGAAGAGGTACATGTAACCTCTACTCGACCAGTCCAGCCGAAAGGCATCAAGCCCGGCGGTCGAAAGGTATTGACCATCGGGAGTCGATGCCTTTCTGGCTGAACTGGACGATGCAGATGGTATTTTTTTTTTTTCACATGCAAAATCAAATTCAAAAACATCCTCAAGTATTGGACCTATTCAGTATAGTCCTTTATACAGAAAGTATACTCCGTTCTCGCATTCCTAATAATGCTGAAACTTTCGAAAAGGTGAAAAATCTGTCACCTATCATATGCATTAGCCACGAACGGCCACCATTTTCAGAACATCCTTTTGTTTTGGCTAACCAGTCTAAGCTTAGGGAAATTGAAAGTATGTGTTGTCTACAGTTAACAAGTGACTGCCCCAACACTTGTAAGGGACAAATTCCACCATCTGGATCGTCATTTTGGACCCAGTCAATAACTGTTAAAGAGTGCTGCTGGAGAGCCCAGACTCATTGTCCTCACTGAGATTACTTTGAAAATATATAGCTTACTAATCAGTAATGCCCTGCTTGAACAAGTATTTTCAAGAGTATCGTCTGGGAAAACTCGACTGAGAAATTTAATGGAACTTCAGCTTTTGACATCAATCTTGATAATCAAAACATACCTTGAAGAAAAAGACACTTGATATTTTAAGTTTCAGTAATAAAATGAGACTGCAATATACAAAAATGAGGTTGTGGATGCACATGAAGAAGATCTTTTTGATAGTCTTCAACTGTGAAGACATGGAGGGACTCCACACACATATATAATATAAAAAATGTTAGAATTGGATAACTTATTAATATCTGCTACATGAAGCATAATTTACCAGGTAATTTCTGCTAAATGCAGCAAATAATAGCAAGTTTTCCAATTATCACGTTCTCTGGGGGAAGGCCCGTCAGCTCCCTCGAGCTATCCAGGCTGAAATGGATATAGTATTAGGTTTCTGGCACCAGTCAAAGTGCGTGGAGTTCGGGCCTACCAGGAGACCACGAGCAAAAACTTGGTCCCCTCAGAGGCACGAGGAGCAATGCCCTATAGAAACCCCTGTGTGGTTGGAAGCATTCTATGTCTCCCATCGACCGGGTCTGGATGTCTGCATGCTCCTAGGGTTTCCTTCCCTAGGTGCCCTGTAAGTACTGTTCTTGGGGGCCACCTTCCATAAGTCACCTTGGGGTCTACCTCTGCTGTGTCTTTTACTGCTCAGTGATAGACCGCCCTTTGAATCAGCTGGGGTTTCTGTTTACCCCTGTTTGCCTCTGGGTAGGGGGGTAGTTTTCGTCACTGGTTCGGGCGCAAGGTACAACGCAGCTAGTTGTAACCTCTCATAGCGGCCGACTCTGTTCTGCCTGGGCACATTGTCCTCTTGCGGAGTTTCTTTTTCTTTTCTCTGCCTGGTGGAGGGTCTGCCTCTTGGTTTGTCATATCCTATTGTTATTGTTGGTCCTCCACTAGGTCCTCCGCAGGTGTACACATCTCGGGGTGCAGCTGTTAGCCGTTTGCTTGGTAGTTTTTTTTTTTTTTCTACCACAGATGTGGCCACACAGTTACAATGCTAACCAGCATATATACATTTTCTTTTGTCCTCCATGGACAGGGTTAGAGATGTGTTAAACATATAGTTCAAGGGTTTATTGAACAATCAACCACAGAAGGTGAAGCCTGGTAGTTTTGGGGCACCGGTTAGCTGTACCTGAGGCGCCTGACAGCTGGATGGACAGCGCCTCGGATTCATAGTCCTGAGGTTCCAGGTTCGATGCCCGGTGGAGGTGTGCTTGGGAGTTTGTCCCCGAGAGACCATGCCACTGGGGTGGAGAGCCTCGCTTAAGGCTATTCACGGGTCTTTGACTCCTGTCCTTGTGCCCTGGGCTGGGGACGTTCTGTTGGTTGTGATGGGGAACTTTGGGGCTCTCGTATTTGTTTGTGACACACTGCAGTCACCAGTCATAGCCGGATTGTTTTGGCTGTGCGTGGCATCTGTCTGGCAAGGACCTCAGTGCCTGGGTGTCATACTTGGTTAGCTGCCTTCAGGTCCTGGTAATCCCCTTGCAGGTCTTTGACATGGTTCATTTGGCCCGTTGAGCCAGCACTCACCATTTTAAAAAATTTTCACATTGCTGAGCAGCCTCTAAGTCACTCGAGGAATCTGAAATGTTTATGGCTGGGAATGAGTGGAGACCAGACCGCCAAAGTGTTAAAAAGTAACTATGAATATTTATGTTTCAGTTGAAGAAAGAGGCTCTAAAATGCAGGAGGTAAAGTTCAGGAAGACTGTATTGTCACATGGAACCTCACGAGATAAAGTGGCTGCTCTTGTCCTTAGATGTATGGAAGCTCCAGTTCACTCCCTGAATCACCTCAATTCCCTTATTGCTATGGTTACAGCAAAATCCAAGAGTGGGTATGAAGATGCATTGAGTAAGTATAATATTGTACCTGCTTGTAGATACAGTACTTACATTGTACATTTCACCTCTGGTTACACCGGGTATCTATTTCCAGATGTATGTTCAATCCAATTTGGGTGGTATTTCTGAGGGGAGCCCCGTCGGCTCCCTGAAGCTAACCAAACTGATGTGTGCTTTATTAGTGTGGGGTCATCAGTCACTAGAAATCCTTAGGCCTACTGGGGACCACGAGCCAGAACCTGGTCCTTTCAGGGAGGAGCAAAGAGCAATGGCAAATGATCACTTTACATTTAAAGTAATGTATGTCATATTCCACCATTGACCAGGGTAGTTACCCAGAAAGATTGGCGAATCAAAACAATCGACTAGCTGGTAAATTTGCGACCTACAGCCAAAAAGCGCAGAGAAACTCCAATTAATAGAAAAGAAAACTAGCAAACTATCGTGAACTAGTAGTCACGCTGGTTAGCCCCTTCCCCCCCAGACAAGAGGGAGAGGGAGCCAGCCTAGCAGGCTGGCCTCTCACCACCTCAGTTCTCATCTGATGTGCTTGGCGGTTGGACGTCACCTCTAGCCTCGTTTTCCTGTTTGGGATTTTGCCCTGTGTGGCTGTGGCCAGGTGTTCTTTGTACCTGGAGCTACATGCGCCCTAGGTGCTCCGTCTACCCTTACATTTCAGGGTTGACTTCCCTGGACGTTCGTGACTCACTTTCCATTGGGGGAATTCGTCGCTTGACAGGGTCTTCACCCTTGGGCTAAGTCGGGGGTCTGGGGCTTTCCATCTTGCCCTGGGTAGGAGAGTGTTATTGGCTGGGGCTGTGGTTGGCGCAGTCTCCCATTCCTATGCAACGGCCGATGTTTCTCTCTGGCTGCTAGTTTGCTTGGGGTGTTGTTTCGGGGGCTTTTTTTTTTTTTTTTTATTTTGGGTCCTTTCCCTCTTTTGGTGGAGGAGGTTTGCTTAGTGACCTTTTAGGCCAGCCTTGGTTGTGTTGACTCTCCTCCGCAGCCCTTGAGGTTTCACCCCTACTACTGGTAGTCGGTTTGCCTGTCTACAAGCAGGAAGTCTACCAGCTTAGCTGGCCACAGTGCCTGGACTTCCCATAGGGCTGCATGCCCTGCGGGTCCTGGAAAACCCTCGTGGGCTTGGTTGGTAACATGGATCCGCCCAAGTCCACTCTCGCCTTGTGCGATGTTGAAGGTTCTTCGTTTTCTCTCTGCCTATGGTGACAATCACCCTTTCTGTCTCCGCCATGCTGCCTGAAGAAAGGCAGGGTCGGTGACACCTTCAACCCAGAATCTTGCAAAATGTGTTCTCCACTTGTGTTTTAATTTACACATTCCTCGTCTGTGGATGAGATGTTTCAGGCTGCGGCGGTACCGTTGCAAGCTCTCTTCTCCTCTTCACAACACGCCAGGTTGGTTGCCCAGTTGGAGGCCCCGGAGCTGTCCTGTTTGGGTTTTAGGGCCCGGGATTTGGGGGCATAGGTTGCTTCAACCTTGGTTTTGTTCGTGCTCCCATTTCCCTTCCAGGTGGGTTTGATTCGCCCTGCTCCTCTTTCCCTGCTTCCGGCTCCCAAAGGTCTGAGGGTTTCGGAGTTGGGGCGGGGTTTATTGGGATAAGACTCAGGTGGCTTCTGGGGCTGCCCCTTCTGATGCAGGCACGGAGATAGTTCACCCCGTTTTTCTTGCTGAGGCTTCTGGTTCATTCCAGCCACATTCCTTCTCAGAACCTTTCCCTTGGATGCTGCCTTTTCTTCAGGGGTGGTGGGCATGGAAGAGGGCTCTGCCCTGAGGCCTTCATTGGGAGTTCCCGGGGCTTGGAGGGAGTCCGCTTGGAGTACCTGGGCTCCTTTTGACCCTGTTTGGGCCCTTGTGCCTTCTGGGCAGAAATTGCTTCTACAGGGGAAGGAGTTTTCATACCCTCTTCTTCTTGTATGAATTTGAGTATGGTGCGGCACTACCCTGGGTTCATTTCTGGGTGCCTTTGGGTTCCCTGTACTCATCTTTCCAAAGGGAAGGTTTGGGAGGTCCTTGGTGTCTCCCTCCTGTGAGACATGGTTTACACCTCAGTGATGGATCTGGCCTCTTTCGAGTTTGGGTCTTCTTTCCAGTATTGGGTGTGTTATGAGGTGCCGGAGGCTTCCTGACTGGCACACTGCCCTTTTCTGGGGGGAGCCCCTATGGCTACCCGGAGCTTACTAGATTGATATGCTAATGTCAGACTTTGGCATCAGTCATGTGTATGGAGTTCTTGTGGGCCTACCGAGGACCACGAGCCAGAACTTGGCCCTCTCTAGAGAGGCAAGGGGAGCACCCATCCAAGTACTAACCAAACCCAACGTTGCTTAACTTCGCTGATCGGTCGAGAAGCGGTGTTCTCAACGTGGTATGGCCGTTGGCAAAGGGGGAGCAATGGCCTATAGAAACCCCCATGTGATTTGAAGCATTCTATGTCTGCCATCAACCGGGTTAGGCGTCCCAAAACAAACCCCTATTATGGTGAAAATTGCAACCAATAGCCGAACGAGTGGATAGAACTCGGCAAACAAAAAGAGAAAGCTAGTGTGACGTCACCCGTTGTCGCGCTGCTGTCTGCGCAGCTCCTTCCTCCACGGGAGGGGGAAGGGGTAGCCCCAGACCCACCGGGCCGGCGATCCACACCCCAGTTCTTGAAGCTGATGCTATCGGCTTGGTTGTGTGCTCTGGCTCGTCTTTTTTGCGGCGCTGTGCCTTATGTGTGGCGGCTGTTCTCCAGGGGTGTGAGAGCCAGAAGTTATTCTTCAGTACTCGGGTTGCATGTGCCTAGGGTTCCCTTCCATAGGTGCCTTGTAAGTACTGCACTAGGAGCTTGGGGTTACCTTCCACAATTTCCTCGGGGTCTGCCTCTGTGGGTCTGTTTAACTGCTTGTTTTTTTGGCCGCCCTTTGAGTACTTGGGTGTTTTGTCACCCTAGTTTACCTTAGGGGTAAGAGGCAATTTTTGCACTGGTAAGGGGCGCAGGGTGCTGCGCAGCTTGTTGTCACCTATCACAGCGGTCGGCTCTGTTCCTTGGGGTACGTTGTCCTCTTGTGGGGTTTTGTTTTTCTTTTTCTTTTTGCCTTGGTGGGGGGGTTCTGCCCTCTTTGCCACTGGTGTTTGGCCTCACCCTGCTATTTGGTGGTGCCCCCTGCTTGGTCCCTATAAGTGTACACATCCCTGGGGTTCAGCTTTAGACAGTTTGTTTGGTAGTTTTGGACGCTGGTTAGCAGTACCCTGCCTGGGTTTATCTGAGCGCGAGTTCTCTTCAAGTAAATGCTGAGGACCTAGATTCAGGAAGCTCCATGTATTTCTTCGTAAGTAGGTTTGCTACGAAGGTTCCTAAGTATGTCCTAAGTAGATGCTTAGGTGCAAATTCAGGTAGGTCCACTTAGGAAGATATTTGGGTTTTGGGTCTGGCTCACCTGCGTGCCGATAGAGGTTACTACTGTGTTTCGTTTGGCCAATCAGAGAGCAGCAACATTCTTCATATTGAAGATTTAGTGATGGCTTATTGGAGCTCTACTGCCTCCTATTTACGTCAAATTTTCTTATAAAATTAGTATATTTCGAAGTAAAAGTATGTTTTTTCAACTTCTACAGCCAGCACCGACATTGTAGTAAACAAATATGTTACATTTGTTGTTTACTTACGTAATTCTAAGAGATACTGTGTAGCTGTCCTTGTTGCTCGGAAGATGCGCTGACAATTATTGTATATATTTACTGAATTTACCCAAGGGCCACTAACTATCTAGTGGCCTCGAAGAAGACAGAAAGCCGGCGGCTTGTTAAAGAGCCCGCCAATTGTCTTCATGATATTTTTTAGCTGGAATTGGCATTTACGGATTCAGCAGGTAGGCGGTTCCATGGGTTTATAACCCTCTTGGTGGAAAAAACATCTGTTTTCAATCCTACTTGAGATAACATACTCTCCAACAACTATATCTGTGATTGCCCTGTTATCAGTGAATTCATACCTAATGGTATGAGGTACTTTGAGCACTGTAATTACTTCATTCACTCAGGAATATTGGAAGATATTCTTCTGCTGCACCCAGATTTTGACAATGGAAGCTAATAGATCAGCCTTAAGTATTTTGTTCTCTCCTGATTCCATGTATGACTGGCCATCCTGTGAGGTGAGGATGTTGGATGAGCTTGTAGCTTGTTTTTGATCTACACTGTGTGGTCCTTCATACAGAATAGGGAAGCAGCACATTGCCGTGTATACCTAAACATGTTAAAAAATACATTGTTTGAGAGAGTCTTGTAGAAACTGGTAAGAGTAATTATAATATAATGTTTCCATTATTCAGTGCTTACCTCTTGTGAAAATCGTTAAGTGTTGTTTAGTCAGAGTTGATTTGTTTTTTGTATTGAGGCTGGTATTTTCTACCTTAATTCCATGTACAGTGGCACTTTGACATACGATTGCCCCTACTTACGATAATTTCGAGTTACGATGTAAATTTCATCAAAAAATGCGACTCGACATCCGATGGTGTCGTCGACTTCCGATATTTGTTGGTACACGTTCTGGTCGACCGAGCGTGTGGTTCCCAGTCATGCGGCCGACCTGCCTCAGTTTACTACAGCTGCCTGCTTAGTGACGATCACGTCTATAAGAAATTCCGCTTTTGTGGTGATTTTTTGCATTTTGAACATTAAAGTAATTATTATATATCACGCTATGAGTCCCAAGAAAGACAGTGGTAAGGCTCAACATATGAAAACCCATGTAAAGATGACCATAGAGCAGAAACAAGAGTACAGAATGTGTCTTCCTCAACAATTAAGAAAATGTGTAAAGCATGGGAAGAATTGCAAACCTTTGCTGAAATGACTCGCCCAGATCAAGCTGCAGTAGGTCGTTGCCTTAACCTATTCAATGACACTGTGATGCATCATTACAGACAAATGTTAAAACGAAGGGAAAAACAAATGTCTCTTGACAAATTTGTAGCGAGACAAACAAGCACTGAACCACAACCA